CCCACCCCAAGGGATGTTCTAAACAAGTGACTTCCAAGTTAAACCACACCACATACATCCTGTCATCCAAATTATACCAACATTCCAAGCATAAGAAAATGTGCAATAAAGTAAGTAAAATCAGAAGAATCACTGAACTTCATTGACTTTTGAGCAAACTTTGCAATTTACATCTTTGTTCGAATTTTCCAGCTTTCTTAAAAAAAACAAAAAATTTTCACACATAATATTCTTTCAAATTAGCTTTATTCCATGACCTAGCAAGTGATCGTCCTTCAGCGTCCTTCAGCGAGTACGCTCCTCCTGCGTGCACCCGCTCGACCAGGTATGGACCTTCCCAGTTTGGCTCCAACTTTCCCACATGCTTGAGCACGTCGACGCGTTTCCAAACCAGGTCGCCTACTTGGAGTCTACGAATTTTCACCTTTTTGTCATGAGCGGCTCGCATCCTCTGCTTGTACGGCTCCACCCAGATTGTTGCTCTTCCACGCAGCTCCTCAATGGTATCCAGGGCTGCCATCATTAGATCCTCGTTCTGCTCAGTATTATATGTGCCCGACCTCTGGGATGATAGCTCGACCTCGACCGGCAGCAACGCTTCCACTCCATAAGCTAAACTGAAAGGGGTTTCTCCTGTTGTCGACCTCGGGGTTATGCGATACGCCCAAAGTACCGAGCTCAACTCATCGACCCATGCTCCCGAGGCCTTTTCCAGCCTTGTTTTCAGCCCATTCAGTATAATTTGGTTGGTTACTTTGACCTGGCCATTGGCTTGCAGATGAGCAACGGAGGAAAAGTGTTGCTCGATTTTCATGTCTTCGCACCATGCTCGAATCCGCTTGCCATTGAACTGAGTACCATTGTCAGAAATCAACACTTTGGGCACGCCAAACCGGCAGCAAATGTTGTTATATAGAAATTTAATTACTTTCTCCTCCGTAATCTTCGCCAAGGGTTCGGCCTCCACCCACTTTGTGAAATAATCAACTGCCACTATCAAGAACATTCTCTGCCCCGTTCCCTGAGGCATCGGCCCCACCAGGTCGATACCCCATTGGGCGAATGGTATAGGGCACTCATTGTCGTCATTGCTTCTGCCGGTTGGTGAATAAGAGGGCCGTGCTTTTGGCATTGTAAGCATTTCTTCACCATCCCTTCGCATCTTCCCTCATCGTCGGCCAGAAATATCCTGCCCTCAAAATCCTTGCAACCAAGGCCCCTGACTTACTATTATCACTACAGCATCACTCGTGCATCTCTCTCAGCACATATCGACCTTCCTCCTTAGTAACACAACGCAGATGCGGTCCCGCATACGACCTTTTGTAAAGGATGCCTCCATGTTAAAAAAATCTCCTCATTGCCTTTATCGTTCCCCCTTTCAGCTCCTCTAAGATCGGGGCCCTCCAATCCTCCACCTCTTCAATTTCCGCCACTTCCACTTCGACCATACTCTTTTCGAGAAGCAATAAGGTGACACTTCCGCTCTTACAATCCACCAAGGTTTGAGCAATCTTCGATAACAGGTCCACCTGACCATTTTCTCCTCGAGGGATTTGTATCAGCTCGAATGAGTCAAACTCCTCTCTCAACTTCCTCATCTCGTCCACATACTTTTGCATCTGGTCCTCCTTAACTTCAAACCCCTCCTGAAACTGCCCGACCACCAGTTGAGAATCAGAATGCACTTGTAACTTTCAGGCTCCTCCTGCTTTGGCTAAACTCAAGCCTTTGATCACTGCCTCATACTCGGCCTCGTTGTTGGATATCTTGAACCCCACTTTAGCCGAAAATTCCAAGTAATCGCCCTTAGGAGAGACAAGGACTATTCCCAACCCTGCCCCGCTTCGTGCCACTGATCCGTCCAAAAACAACTGCCATATTCTTCCTGACTCCTCCCCAACCTTCGTGCCTTCCTGGATAAAATCGGCAACACCTGCGCCTTTATGGCCCTCCTTGGTTCATATAACAAAGAATACTCACTCAACTCGACCGGCCCATTTCACCAATCGACCAGAGACCGATGGTCGGCCAAGTGTTTCTCCCAACGGCATGTTGGTTCGCACCTTCACCTTATGATTCAAGAAATAAGGTCTCAACTTTCGAGCAGTTACGACCACAGCCAAAGCACACTTCTCAATCTCCGAATACCTCATCTCTGCCCCCTGCATCACCCTACTCATGTAACAGATAGGAAACTGCGCTACCTCTTCCTCCCGCAATAACACCGAACTCACAGCCCTCTCTCCAATAGAAATGTATAGCACCAACTCCTCGCCCTGTACGGGTTTAGCCAATAAGGGAAGGTTGGCCAACACCCCTCGCAACTCCTCAAATGCCCTCTGCGCCTCCTCCGTCCATTGAAATTTTGAGCTCTTCTTTAGTGTTTTGAATAATGGGCCACTTTTCTCTGCCACCTTCGATATGAAACGACTCAGCCCCGCAATTCGACCAGCTAAGATCTGCACTTTCTTAATATTCGTCGGCGGCATCATCTCTATTATGGCTCGAACCTTCTCAGGATTCACTTCAATACCTCTCTTGGTCACCAAGTAACCCAAGAATTTTCCCGACCTCACCCCGAAAGAGCACTTAGCTGGATTCAATTTCATCCCATACCTTCACAATGTTGAGAACGTCTCTTTCAAGTCTCGCACATGATCCAACTTCTCCTTGCTTTTCACCAACATATCATCCACATACACCTCCATGTTCCTCCCCAGTTGCTCCTTAATGATTTTATCGACCAACCTTTGATATGTGGCGCCCGCATTCCTTAAGCCGAATGGCATGACCACGTAACAATAGGTTCCTCGACTCGTTACAAAACTCACCCGCTTCCTGTCTTCTCTCACCAAGGGAATTTGGTGATATCCCTTGGAGGCATCCATCAGGCTCAGCAGTTCGCACCCCGCCGTTGAGTCGACCAGATGGTCGATTCTAGGCAGTGGGTATAAGTCCTTTGGGCATGCTTTGTTCAGATCACAGAAATCAATGCACATCCTCCATTTTCCCTCCGCCTTCAACACCATTACCGTATTCGATAAACACTCGGGGAACTGGATTTTCTTGATATGCCCCGCTCCCAATAGCTTCTCGACTTCTTTTTCAATGATCTTGTCCATCTCCGCCCCGTGGTGCCTTCTTTTCTGCTTCACTGACCTCACACTGAGGTCGATGTTCAGCCGATGTTCGATCACCTCCGCACTTATCCCCGTCAACTCCTCCGCTGTATAAGCAAAAACGTCAGCGAACTCCCTAACCAGATCGATCAACCTCGACCGAATAGGCTCCTCCAAGTCCTTCGCGATTCTGAATTTCCTCTCTTCGCACCCCTCGATCATTTGGATCTCCTCAACTTCTCCTCCTGGCTGGATATCCATTTTCTCCTTACCCTTTTCCATTCTCTGTTTATCCTCTTTTGTCCTCGACCTCCTTGGTTGACTAATCTCCTCCTCCTTCGACTTGGCCTGCCTCCTCGCTAGTTGCTTGTTATTGCCCACTATTGTTTGATAGCAACTCCTCGAAGTGAGTTGATCCCCAGCAGTCTCCCCTATGTTTTCGCCCACAGGATACTTGATCGTCATGTGGTACGTGGATACGACCGCCTGGAATGCATTCAAGCTCGTCCGCCCCATAATGATGTTATAAGATGATTCAGCTCCTACGAGCACAAACCTCACCATGCGCACCTTCCTCAGCTCTCCCGCTCCTAACGCCACTGGCAAACTTACCTCGCCCATCGGCACCACCTCTCCTCCATTGAAGCCATAAAGTGCCGTGGTCACCGGCTTCAGCTCCATATGCAACTCCTTGTTAATTTGCACAAAACAGTCATAGAACATCACGTCTACCGAACTCCCGGTATCAATAAACACCCTCTTCACGTCAAAGCCTGCCACCTCCGTGGTTATCACCAAAGCATCGTTGTGCAGTAGGACCACTCCCTCGGCACCCTCTGCCTTGAAACTTATCACCGGCATACGAGCCGTAATCTTCACCTCCTCTCTTTTCTCTTCGCAGCTCGAGCATGCTCCTTCATGGCCTTATTCGATTCACCATCCGTTGGCCCTCCGGAAATCATGTAAATCGTTCCTCTCTTCATCGAGGTCTCTCCTCCCTGGCCCCCTTTATCTCCATCTCTTCTTGGCTTTTTTCCTCGACCACCTCGGCTCTCTCCATCGTCTCCTTATTCATCCCTATCACTCCTTTCCTCCGAATCATCTCGACACCTTCTCCTTCCGTTCCCTCTCGCCCTATCATGGTACACAAACTCTTTCAAATGTCCTGCTCGAATCAACCTCTCAATCTCATCCTTCAAATGCCTGCAGTTCTCCGTGGTATGGTCGTAATCTCGGTGAAATCAACAATATATATCCGATCTGGGTCGAGTCGGGCCTGTGAACCTTGTCATCGGCCACATCACATCCTCGGTCGACATCTTCTGCTCCATAGCCTCGAGCACCTCTGTCAAATCTTTCCTCAAGGGTGTAAAATTATGGTACCACTGTCTTTCGAGCAACAATGGCCTTCCCTGCCACCTATCGTCTCTCTTCTGCCGCTTCGAATCCCGACCTTCCCTCCTTGGTGATGTCTTTTTCGACCCACTTCTCTTGGGCAAACTCCTCCTCGGCGACCTCCCTCTTGGTGGGGTTTGCTCCTTCTTCGGTTCTGGTCGAGCCGGCCCTTCCAACTTTGCGAACTCTACCTCCATTTCCTCCAAATTAATATACTTCCTGCAACGCTTCAAGACCTCCGCATACGATCGAGCAGGGGTCTTTGCCAGGGAAGTTCGGCAAGGCCCTGCGCGAAGACTTCTTATCAATTCTCCCGCATGCACCTCATCTGTAGCCGAATGCACTTCCAAACACGTCTGGTTATATCGAGCGACGTACTTCCTCAATGACTCCTTCTCCCCCTGCCTCATTGCCATCAATATCAAGTATGTTTTCTCATACGCCACTGCGCTTGAATATTGATTGGTAAGCTTGCTGGCAAAATCCTCAAAATCCGCAATCGACCCTGTGTTAGAGGTATGCTGTAAAAGCTCCTATTTACAGATTCTATCAATTCCATTTTGATCTGGCCATCGTGTTTCGGTCAATGTACATATGCTTGCAGTTTATTTATTTATGCAATCATTGTAACACCCCACCTTACTAGTAAATCAGAGTAGCGCATTTATTCGCAAAGTCTTTGAAAACTAAAACATTTTTACTTTGCGAAACTGATTTGGAGTGCTACCGTGAAA